AGAGAGAGAGAGAGAGAGAGAGAGAGAGAGAGAGAGAGAAAGGTTTACTTCAAGGAAATAGTTCACACAGTTGTGGGGCTGACAAGACCCACATCTGCAGGTCAGATGGCAGGCTGGAAGCCTCTCCGGGCTCGCAGGACTGTGGAGGTTGATGACTTCAAACTCTACAGGTCAGGTGGCAGGCTGGAAGCATCTGCTGGCTCACAGGGTTATGGGGACTGGCAAATCCAAGCTCTACAGGTCAGATGGCAGAGCAGAAGCTTGTGCAGGCGTCCATCCCAACAAGTGAAGATCAGGTGAAAGCAGAGTGTAGGGTTGTGAGAGAGGGAGCGCTGCCAGAGCACCGATTTACAGATTAGATGCAGGTCACCTCTCCAAGAGCACTCCTTTTCCCTGAATGACTGCTCATGGCAGATCACACCATGGGGGCTGATGGCGCTCTATTACATTATGGAAGAACGTCCAGTCCAGTGTCTGCCAAACCCCTGAGACTCACCATCGAGCTAAGTTGACACATAACAGGAACCACCTGAGTCTGTGTGCTCCTTCCTTATGGCTAGCTGATGCTGACACACACCAACATGCTCAGTAAGTGTGTATGTTGGGGGAAGGAGGGAGACAGGGCAGGAAGATACTGCCTCCCCCACCCCCCACCACCCCCGATCAAGGGAGAATGGAGTCGAGTCCTACGAGGATTCTGGGGACGTAGTAGACACCTGGAGATGCTGTGGCTCCACCCCTGGCAGTTAGCATGGCATCAGGATTAAATGTGAACACACAGCAGTATCCATGATGAAAACAGTCACTCTAGGTCTGTAAACCAGGAAGGCTTTAAACAGGGATGTGTGCTGCTTATGAAATGATTGGAATACTCCAGGAGTGACTGCAGAAGAAGACTGAGTGACCCTCTGCTCACTCTGGGGTCTCTAACACAGCTCTGTGAGAATCAAGACGGTCCCCTTCATGAAGGTGCTCGGCACACCCAGGAGGCAGGAGATGGGGCACTTGAGCACCGAAACGGCATCTCTGCCCGTCCACAAAGGTCCAAGCTACAGAGACAGTGCAGAGGGAACGAGCGGGCTCCGTTCCCGCCTTCCAGTCTTGCAGAAGCACATCGAATGGGCATACCTAATTCAATTCTGGAGCCTAGTGGCAAGGTCACTTGGAAAATGTAGTTTTTCCTTTCTGCTTGCTCCTGCAGACACAATGGTTAAGTGCTGGACTGCTAACTGAAAGGTTGAAGGTTCAAACCTACCAGCTTCTCCTTGGCAGTCTGTTTCTGCGAAGATGTCAACCTGGGGAACCATGTGCAGCACTCCTCTGTCACATGGGGTCACCACGAGCTGGAATCGCAGGGAGGACACCTGGCAGCAGACCCCTGCCCTGCTAGAAGGAGGTTGTTAATTGTGCACTTTTGCGCTTTTCTTTGAAAGCTCAGTCTGTGTCTCTAACGTGGCCATCCCCAGGCTCCCGGTGGGTGACTAGGCGTCACAGTAAACTCAACGCCAAATGGTTTTGGGTCCACATGGTGACACAACAGCTAAGCATTTGGCTACTGCCCTCAGACTACAGCCATTAAAAGCCCAGTGGAGCACAGTTTTCCTCAGAAACTCCCGGCATCACCAAGCTCAGCATCGCATCAACTCAGTGGAACCTGGGTTTTGTTTTCTTCTTTGTAGCCAGGCCTTACTCATCAAATTAAAATGAAGTGAAATGAAATCTCTCCTTCCTCATTCACACCAGTTCATTTCAAGCCCCCAGCAGCCTTTGTTGGGTGGCTTTGTTTCTGTGGTTGTTAAGTGCCATTAGAATGGTTCAGACTCATAGGGACTCTGTAGGTTTTCCAAGGAGTGGCTGGTGGGTTTGAGCCTCCTACCTTGTGGTTTGCAGTCCAGTGTTGATCCTACAGTGCCACACCAGGAGTCCTTGTTGGGTGGCTGGAGGCTACCACATTAACCCAATCAACCCCACTGGGTCGAGTCCGGTGCTACCGAGTACAACGGCTCCATACAGCTTTCTTAGCTGTCGTCTTTATAGAAGTAGATTTCGAGGCCTTTCTTCCAGGAAACTGGAGGGTGGATTCAAGCCTCCAAGTTTCAGGTTAATAGTATAACATAAACTGTTTACGCCCCACCAGGACCTGGCTACCTAACATATATGAGGAGGCTTCAAAAAATCCATGCAACAAAATTCCGTGGTCTTTTAATTCCATTTTTCCATGACCTTTTGAAGCCTTCTCATGTAGGGTATGGCGTCCTGTAGGGTAAACACTGAAGCCTTCTCATGTAGGGTATGTGGTGCTGTAGGGTAAACATTGAACTGCAAGGTCAGCAGTTCAAATCCACCAGCTGCTTTTTATAAGCCCTATATGGGGTCCCTATAGATAGAACCGAGTAAACAACACCAAACAACACCACCATACAGAGTCTGGTGTGATGTTGTGGGATAAACACTTGTCTGTTAACAGCAAGGTTGGCGGTTCAAACCCACCAGCTGCTCCTGGAAACCCCATACAGAGTCGCTGTGAGTCAGATCTGACTGGACGGCGCCTCATAGCAGCAGTAGCAGCAGCACACACGGCGCATCGCTATGGCAGCAGCGCACACGGTGCGTCACCATGGCAACGACGCATCACCATGGCAGCAATGCACACATGGCACATCGCCGTGGCGGCAGCAGCAGCACACACGGCGCACCACCATGGCAGCAACGCACACATGGCGCATCACCATGGCAGCAACGCACACACGGCACGTCGCCATGGCAGCATCGCACACTCAGCACATCACCATGGCAACAACGCACACACAGAACGTCGCCATGGCAGCTGCGCACACACGGTGCGTCACCATGGCAACGACGCATCACCATGGCAGCAACGCACACATGACACGTCGCCATGGCAGCAGCGCACACACAGCGCATCACCATGGCAACAACGCACACACAGTACGTCGCCACGGCAGCAGTGCACACATGGCGCATCACCATGGCAGCAACGCACACACGGCATATCGCCATGGCAGCAGCGCACACACCTAGCGTCGCCATGACAGCAACACACATGGAGCGTCACCATGGCATTGCGCTTCTTGTTCTACGTGTGAGGTGACCCGGGTTCTGCTCCCAGGTGTCTCCACAGAGCAAGCGATGCACAAGAGAGTTGTAAGCTGACAGCTGATCAGACAGTGTTTGGGTAGCTGAGTGTGGATGCAAGGCTGTGAGAAGAGCGTCTTTTTTGCCAAGGGCCTTCACTGTGTGCGTTGGATCAAGGGAGTGGTGGGGTGCAAGGAACAGAGATCCGGAATGGGAGCTGAGCTGGCTACAGTGTAAGGCAGGTGTGCAAAATGTCCTGAAAGATTAGGGTCATGAAACAAGCCATCATTCTTACCCACATTTACCACCGAGTTTGTGCTTGTCTCCAGTTTGGGTTCACTTCCCAGGTGAACCCAAACAATCACTTTAAGGCCAGGGTTTCATGGGAGAGAAGGGTCTCACCATCACTCTGTTTCGGGGGAGAAAGTAAAACAAAATTAAATATCCGAATGAGATAGCACAAGTTCGAGTCTGATTTGAAGATGAAGTAACCCTACTGCTATAGAGTGGATTCCGACACACAGTGACCCCACAGCACAGAACCGCGCCATAGCATTGCCGAGGCTGTCATTCTTTACAGGAGTAGACAGATTCATCAGTCTCCCTCGGAGCAGCCTGTGGGTTTGAACCACCAACCTTTAGGTTAAGCGCAATACTTTACCCACTGCACTACCAGTGATCATTGAAAGACCAACTAGGCGTGGAGCTGTAGAATCATCACTGGACTACAAGACTGATTTGAACCACAAGCTTGGCGATTCAAACCAACCGGCTGCTCCTCGGAAACCCTATACAGGTTCGCTGAGTTGGAACAACCTTGATAGCACTTAACAACAACAATGATGGAATCCTGGATTGTTGCAAGATTGGCAGTTCAAGCCCACCAGCCTCTCCTTAGAAACCCTGTACAGGGTCGCTATAAGTTGGAATGACTCAATGGAATTGACAACAACAACAACAGGTCCTATGATACACACAACTTCCCATCCATCAGTAATATCTCCTCTCCACTTGCGTGTTCTCTATCAGCTTTCTGGAAAGTTAGGACTATCGCTTCTGATCCGTTAATATCGAACGGACCTAGCACAGAACGCCAAGTTGAACGGGGCTGCTAAAGGCTGCCTGGAACTCTCATGTTGACAATGCTGGTGTGACGTGATCTGGCAGGGGCGATGGGAAACGTTCGAGTCCTCAGCAGACTTGGCTCCCCCCGCCTTTTCAAGCGCATCCCGTGCCCTTCCCAAGCTCGGCATGCCAGACACCACACAGACTCATGAGGCTGCCAGAGTCCCAGTCTGCTGTTCTCCGGAAGGGTTTATGATGACACTGGTGTTGGTGCAGCTTGTCATACTGCAGGGGCATGCTTCATGTTCCACACTGGTTTGGACCACACGTCACAGACACACAGGTGGATTTTCTGGAATGTGTGGAGTCCTTCTCTGGTATAGTGGATGAGTGGAAAGGTTGGAGATTCAATTTCACCCTGAAGTGAGTTGGAAGAAAGTCCTGTAGATCTGAAAATTCAGCCACTAGAAGCTCTGTGGAGCACAGTTCTACCCTAGCACACATGGGGGAGAGGGCACCACGAGACCAAGTGGACGCAGGGGCAACTGGTTTACGTGTCTCCCCATGACATTGGTATGGACTTCTCATGTGCTTTGGTGTGGCGCTGTGGGATCAGCACTAGACCGTGAACCACAAGGCTGGCAGTTCAAACCCACCAGTCACTGCTTGGAAACCCAAGTCAGGGTCACTGTAAGTAGGAACCGACTCGATGGCACTTAACAACAACAACGTGGCATTGGTATAGCTCCCCGATGTAAACAACTTCTTAACCCATAAATATAAGTTAGAAGTTTGAGTCAGGCTCAACGGTACCCATGTCAGATTTAACATGGGGGCAAATCGCAAAATCCAGTGGGTCCTGAGATGGATTTATGTTTGAATGAGTGCCAGAGGCTTTTTTGGGAAGGACTCCTGGCCACCCAGCCTGGGAGCAGGGTGGACACTGTTGGGCAGAATTATCCACAACATGATGCCTTAGGAATTGTGTGTGGTCCAGGATGGGTTTGGAAGGGTATGGCAATAAGAGCAAAGCCAGATTTGCACAATCCTTCACAAATCTCAGGAAGGAGGGACATCCTGATCTCCATTCGTGTCCCTGAACAGGCACTCAGGACCCTGGGGCAGGCGCTGGGAGACCCTAGCTGCTATACAGATTACCTTGTGATTGGTCTTCGGGAGATGGTTAAAGCTGTTTAAATCCCCAGAAAGCTGGGGCTGGCAATTGCAATGAAATTATGCAAAGTCTGATCTAATGAAGGCTTATAATTCTGGGCGTTCACTACCTCCAGGAACCGGCTCATGGCTTGAGTTGTTTTGATGTGCACCGATGGAAGCAGCAATCAAACAACCTATTGCATTGGGCAAATCTGCTACAAAAAAAGCCTTTTCAAAGTGTTCAAAAGCAAAGAGTTCCAAGGTGTCCATAAATCCAGGCACAGAGCAGAATTTCCATTCCTCCTATGCTTGTGAAAACTGGACAGGGAAAACGGAAGAGTGTAAAAGAATTGATGCACTTCAATTGCAGTGAAGAATACTGGTGTACTGTGGGCTGCTAGAAGAATAAACAAATCTGTCTTGGGAGCAGGACAGCCAGAATACTCTTTAGAAGCAGGATGGTGAGACTTTGTCTCATGTACTTTGGACGTGGTATCAGGAGGGACCAGTCCCTGGAGAAGTATATCATGCTTGGCAAAGTAGAGGATCAACAAAAAGAGAGGAGGGCCCCCAATGAGCTGGATTGCTTGACCAAGGGGCTGCAACCGTGGGCTTAAACATAGCAACACTTGAGAGAATGCTGCAGGATGAGGCAGTGTTCAGTCTGTTGTGCATAGCAGCATCTAACACTGTGGGAGGAACAGACTAGATGGACATAACCACATATCGGAGCAACTTTGAGTGGTGGATAGGGTGATCTGCCCGAGGACACCCGTTAGCCCATTGCTGTTGAATGGAGTCCAATTCAGTGCCTCCCAGGACTTCCAAGTCTGTCCTTTTTACGGAAGCAGACTGTCAGCAGCATCTTTCTCCGCAGGAGCAGCTGGTGCATTGACATTTTAAGCAGCAGCTGAGTGCTCAACCAAGGTGCTACCTGGCTCTTTTTGATGTTGTAGGAGGGGTTAATCTAATCCAAAGAAGGAGAGAGGACCCTTTAGAAGCCAACGGGAGCACAAGGCTGGGAGAATTGGTTTGCTGTGTGTGTTGCAGTTAGAAACCAAGATAATTGGAGTCATGTCAGCCTGAACCCTCCAGGAAGCTGAGACCTTGTGCCCAGGGCTCCTGGGGTTGTCACTAAGGCATCTGCTTGCAGGGCCTATGCCCCCCGACTTACAGAGCCTTGTGGATTCCCATTGCTGTCTCTTTGTTCACCGTGGGACTTGGCTCATTTCATTCCTCCTGTGTTTCTGTTGTTCTTACTGTAACTAAGAGTAGGTGCGCTGTGGATGGTGGCACACCCATCCTTCAGTGTGAAAGCTCAGGCTGCATGAGTTGTTGGTAAGCACTGTGGTTGGAGAGGCATGGTCCTTTACATGTTTCAGGGACAGTCGACTTGTGGATGGCAACGTCTCAGGTGTCCCCTGGTTGGGCTGTGGGGGCATGCTAATCCCTTTTGGACTTGCCACGATTGTTCAGTGGCACTTCTGCCAGCTGCCTTCCAAGAAATTTCATTATTTTGGCAAGACACTCGGGACTGTCACCATTTTTATACTAACTGAGAACTGGAGGGAATCCGTGGTGTTCTTCAGGCCGTACCATGCATAGATTTCAGGAAATGCCTTGTACAAAACTCCTCAGGACCATCGACAGAACAGATCTGCACGTTCCCAGGAAATCTGGGCAGCCGTGAGTGCAGAATCCAGGAATGTTCTTTAGAAACAGCTGCTGATATTGTTATTCTAGACCATGCTTCAAAAAGTTCATAGGAAAAAATGGAATGAAATGGAATGACGTTAAACAGAATTCAATGAAAAATCTCCATGAACTTTTTGAAGCCTTTTCATAGACGTGTGTAAAATGAAAAGGTTGATTTAAAAAAAAAAAAAAAGGAACCGAAAACGTATTCCATACAACCTGTCAACTTTACAGGCAAAATGAAATGTAAATGATTTACTTGATGTATTTTTTATTATTCAGCAGAAGGTATTTTTTTGGAAAAGCATAATGTCTATCCTGCAAAAAGAGCAAGTCCTAGCCTCTCATTTTTCCTGTTGATCCCGTCTTCTGGTTGCACACACAGATATCCACATCTACTTACTCTTCCAACCATTGTTGTTAAGTGCCGTCGAGTCGGTTCTGACTGAAAGCGACTGTGTACAGGGTTTCTGAGGAGTGGCTGGTGAGTTTGAACCACCAACGTTGCAGTTCACAGCGAGTGGCATTCAAAGCAGTTAACAAGTGGCAGTTCAGAGACCGACTTGGTGGCAGTGGGCTTTCGTTCAGGGATTCTTCAGTCCAATGCCAGCGCTCTGTCTTCGGACCTGGCTGGAATCTGAAGTTTCCTTGTTGCTCACCTCCTGAGTGTTCTCTTCCTTCTAGGCCATTCAAGCTTGGCCCAGAGAATTGTCCCCTGAAGGGTACCACCCATGAGTGGTCATCAGCGCTGGGTCCCCACCCCTGGGGAGCTGTGATTGCTTCATGGATGTGACTCCTGGTTCCTGTCAGCACTCTGGAGTCTGTGACCCACATGGAGATGGTGCATTTTCTACGCTGAATACAGGCATCTAATGACCTGTCTCCAATCACATGAGCTTAAACCCTGCTTGCCAGTGTTGTCTCTCGTAATAAAATTGTGACGTTTTTGTTCCTAAATCTGGAAGGCCCTAAGGGTGGATGAGAAGACGTTGAAGATTCCCTGCCTCTAAAATTCTGCGTTACAATGTCCTACTGCCTTCAGTGTTTCTGGGACCTTAATCAATTGTTGCCTGATTCTACCACATCTTCAAC